CAAAATTGCGGACGTTTCCCGCCCAACAGCAGTCACTAATACCTCCGGTAGATGGGGGAAGCATTATAGATACTTCTCAGCCAGTAGAGCCGGTCTCGCTGGCTGGGCGGGACTGATGGTAAGCACCAATACCGGTAGGATATAGAGGCTGGTAGAAATCATAGAGGGAAGCACAATGGACCACTACAGGTCTAAGTGCATGGGGAAACCCACCCTCTTTAATAACTAACTAACTAACTAACTAACTAAGCTTGTCCAGTGTACGTTTAACAGCAGGGTTCTGCAGAAACAATTATAAAAAAAACCAGAGAAAGTCCCGTAGATTCCAACGGTAAAATGAAAATAGTAATAGAGTAATCTTATTTGTTATAGGCTTGCTGGTCTAGGGATAACCATTCCTTGTCAGAAGAAATACAGATACACATTAGAATGGAATTACTTGGAAGAAATATAAAAGCAAATTTTTCGAGACTGATTATAAAAAGACGGCTAAGTTATTCATGCATTTATTTAAACTACAATATAATTAGGTCAGGGGGCCTCACAGCCGTAACTATAAAGCGTGATCTGTTCTGGGTTGAAACACCGCACAGTTCGAAAAACGTCCGACGTTTCGGACGAACATATCGCCTCAGTCTTAAATGTCGAAAGGTAAGCCAAACAACAGAGCAGCAAAACACAGGCGGCAATAAAAACTTTCCAGCCCTTCTAGAAGTCTTCATGCATACGGACGGATCGACAAACTGAGCGCAAGTAACCGACACTCTGTAAAGTTGCAAGCGTGTTTAAAATTTCCATTTATAGCTCACAGAAAACACACTGCTCCTCCATTACATAGGCCACTGGGTTAGTGCAGTATAGTCTTATAGCCGTGTGTAACACATTAATGCAGTCTCTGGGAAATTGCAGACTTTTTAATGTTAAATACGGCAGCTCATGTGTTCTAAGGGTTAAATAATGAATCAATCAGTCGTAGTGGCAACACTGTCATGATGGATTAGTTAGCTCGAGCTCCTTCCAGGCTGAAAAGTAATTTCTTTTGTCAAGGTTTTAGGAGGATAATCGATTCTCCTTAAACAGGAGATATGAATTAGCATTCACTTCTATCGACAGAGCCCTCAACACTTCTCACATAGTTTCCGTTATCAAAGTTACCAGACTTACAAACAGAGGCCTCTGTTAATCAGAATTAACTCAATATTCCAGACTTTCACGTCCAACATCTTGCGAGCTGTAAGAATGTAATTTAGAAACTTCGAAAATGAACCTTATTGGATACGAGACAGCTCAATCATTCAGAGCGCGGCTACATTACTCTGAAGCAGAGGCACGTAATCAATTATGGTGATACTTCATAAATTTTTCGTTAGGTTTTTAAAATTTGGAAAGCGATATCAAGAATTCAGTATAGCATTTTCAGAGGTTGGTCATGAATATGTTTTATACGGCACCGCGCAGTTCGTCAGTTGCATTTGCACTACAATTGCCGGAATCACGTTACACCTTGCACAATGTTTATATTATTGACTCAAGACAGGATTTAAGTTAACTATAGGAAGCACAGGATCGAAACCTGATTCAGGAGGAAATTAAGAGGAGATTGAACTCGGGTAATGCTTGCTACCATTCAGTCGAGAACTTTCTGTCTTCTTGTCTGCTTTTCAAAAACATAAAAATTAGAATATACAAAACTATAATTTTGCGTGTGGTTCTGTATGGGTGTGAAACTTGGTCTCTGACATTGAGGGAGGAACATAGACTGAGGTTCTTTAAGAACAGGGTGTTGAGGAGAATATTTGGATTTGTGGTGGACAAAGTGGCGCTGGGGCAGGTTTTCTCCGAGTACTTCGGTTTCCCCTGCCAATCTTCATTCCACCAATTGCTCCACAATCACCCTCACCTATCATCTGGGGCTGGTATAATAGGCCAGAAGTGGCCGCAGTACAAGGGACTTAGTCCCACCCCACTAGCAATAATAAAGAGAAGAATATGTGGCAAGGTGAAAGGCAAAGTATCCGAAGTGGCCGGCCATCGGTTGGCCGCATGTAAATTAAAGAAGGCACTGCAGAGCCGTGCCCAAGGGCGCTTAGTCCGGTTCTCCTTGTGTCAATGTTTAATGCAGGTCTAAACATGTGCAACCAAGAGAATTCTTGTAGATGTGGTCTCCTGGTGTATATGCAATTAGGACTGTCCCACACTATTAGCTCTAAAACAATTTAGAAAATGTAAACAAAAATAAAAACTCTTTTCATGAGATAGTTTTAAGTTCCGAGCATTCAGAACACACATGAAAAGTGTTAACTTCTCTACGGGCCTAATTTACTCCTTACGATTAGAATCGACATCGCTTCCACGAAGATACGTTAAGGGGAAACGGAAATGAAGGAGGTGGAGGAAGGAAGGGGAGAGATCTATCCTCTCAGACCTGGAAATAAATAAAAAATGCTCTCTTTTTCTTCCTGCCTTATTTTTCCTCCTGGATCTGACGCCATGTAGTCTGGTAGTCTGTAGTCTGTATGTCCTATCCCGAACGGTTTCCGACATGGTTCTATTTCACTGCACAGTTCCAAAATTGTCGATAAGAAAGAGATATCACTTACTGTTTCTAATACCGGTATTTATTATTCAAGTGACAAAGATGGTATAGTTTATCTAGTATAATACATTATCGAAAATTCCACCAGCAACATCAATGCACTTTGCAACTCGTGTGAGGACATGGTGTGTTGCCCGTCTGTACAGTGTACAGTGTACTGAACAGTGAAATAGCTCTATCTCGGTGCAACTCGTGTGAGGACATGGCGTGTTGCTCGTCTGTACAGTGTACAATGCAGTGCACAGTGAAATAGCTGTACCTCGGAAACCGTTCGGAATAGGATGCATGTACATGTATACACTTTTCTGCTTAGAATGACCGATACTGTGACCTCCCACAATACTGACAGTTCCTCCTGGGACACCCTGCATAGCTCTCGCATTAGGTGGTGTATGGCAGGCGGGACTGTGGTCAAGTCACATCATTATAGAACAAAGTTCTTGTGTGTTGGCGAGATCTCCCACCGAGTGTTGGAAATATAATCTAATAATTTAATAGTGTCAGGTCACTGTGGCCGCGCGGTCTAAGGCATGAACTGTCTTCGCTCGCTTGAAAGCTGGGATCATGGGCTCGAATCCCACTCAAGGCATGGATGTCTTGCGTTTGCGTTTATTCTGTGTGTGTTGCTCTGGTAGCGGCCTTGCGGCGAGCTGATCACTCGTCCAAGGAGTCCTACCGTCTGCGTAAAAAGATTACGAAATTAAAGAATAGGCCAGAGCCCAACAAAGAGCTGTAGAGCCATTGACGAATGAATTAATTTGATAATGATTATGAGAAGTTATGCCTCACTATCTGATTACCTTACATATTCACGGATGTTTTAGACACTGTATATAAGCCAGTAAGGTACTGAACCAGATCAGAGGTAGCACATTTGGACTGGTTTCCATAATATTCTGAATTCTTGGAAATCAAGTTTACCAACTTTAATTATCGAAATTCTCTCACAAGTACTTTAATCATACTGGGATCTCAGACACCGAATTTGACCACGCTGCCTATTCACAAATAGCTGTTGCAAAGACACAAGAACTGCCTTTTTAGTTCCCTGTATAAACAAAACGCACTTTATGTGGACTTGGTTTAGCAACCAGCAACCGAACTTCACACTTGTACTCCCACGGCCAAGGTCACTCGACCGTGACGTCTGGCCGAAAATCTCTTTTAAGCAGATACGAAAAGAGAAGAAAAGGGGCAGATGCAGGTGTCCCTAAAATACATGAAAGTTTAATTTTGTAACTGGGTTAGTTTTTATTTTTACGCTACTTACTGAAAACAGAGGCTGGCATAAAGCAGACGCAGCTTTGTCTAACCAGACTCCTTTTCTGATGTTCAGTCGTAAGGTACGACGTCACACGTGGTGATGACGCAGAACATTGGGGGGGGGGTTAACTTTCGGAGTGACAAAATTATAACGAGCGAGTTATATAAAGGGCAGGAACGCATTTCAAATTTAGGATGCCAACCGCTATCCGCTCTCAGATCCGCGGCAGCAAGAGTAAATCTCACTGTCTTCTTAATTGCTCTCCTTTCCTTTCTTATTCTTATTCTTTTCCTCTGGAGTCTTCACAATTATGTTTTCTCCTGATGTCCTCTTCCTCCTCATTTCTCTCTTCTTCTTTTCCTGTTTCTTCATACCCTTCTCCGCATCATTCAGCTCCTCATATTCCTTCTATCTACGCTTCCTCCTCATTCTCTTTCATCTTATCTTCGTCCGCATCATCTCCGTATATTCTTCCTCCCTCTCTTCATAATATTCTTCCGTCCTGATTCCTTCTACTCATTCTTCTCCTCCTACTCCACCTCCCCCTTCTTGCCGCTCTACATCATCTTCCTCTTGAACGTCCTGCGTTTAGATTTGCATTTCTGCTTCTGTTTCAACAAGGAGGCCGACCCGCACCAGAACAACCCTACGTTTGCTTACTGCTTATTCTCTCATTTTACACATTTTTATTTCTTATTCTGTCCTTTTAATCTGATTATTGCTTATTCTCTCATTTTACACATGTTTATTCCTCATTCTGTCGTTTTACATCTGATTATTGCTCATTCTGTCATGTTACATCTGATTATTGCTCATTCTGTCATGTTACATATGCTTATTGCTAATTCTGTCATGTTACATCTGATTATTGCTCATTCTGTCATGTTACATATGCTTATTGCTAATTCTGTCATGTTACATCTGCTTATTGCTTATTCTGTCTTAGGACATCGCTTTATTCACTGATGGAAATCCGGGCAGCTCAGTCAGTACCGGAAAACCGGATAATCGGGTTTCGATTCCTGGCGTGGAAGGAGATCTCTTATGAAAAATATTGGCCGCTGGGCCGTGACGCCGTATAGCCTAGCCAGCTTCAGTCCTTACACGTGCTCTCTGCGTTCCAGTGGTGACGGTACGGACAACGTAACCTCCTGCTGATCACCATGCTGAACGGTTCTGTAGACGGGGTGCTGAACACCTCCCTGGGGCCCACGATGCCCGAGGGGCCCGGTCGTTTCTCCATCCCCCAGATGGTGGTGCTAGCTATCGTAGCTGGCGCACTGAGTCTCGTCACAGTGGTGGGCAACTCCATGGTGATGATCTCCTTCAAGATCGACAAGCAGCTGCAGACGATCAGCAACTACTTCCTGTTCAGCCTCGCAGTCGCGGACTTCGCAATCGGCCTCATCTCCATGCCGCTGTTCACAGTGTACACCATCTTCGGGTACTGGCCCCTAGGACCGCACATCTGTGATACGTGGCTCGCACTCGACTACCTGGCCAGCAACGCCTCCGTGCTGAACCTGCTCATCATCAGCTTCGACCGGTACTTCTCGGTCACGAGGCCGCTCACGTACAGGGCGAAGAGAACCACCAACAGGGCCGCCATCATGATCGGTGAGTTCCACAATTTCGTTTTCTTCACTCTTAGCCTTCTGATCTCTGTTTTCATTTTAATGGGCCTTCACGGCCTGTTACAAGGATAGCTTCACTTTACTTTACTTTACTTTACTTTACTTTTACCTCTTTCTGCTTTTCATCCTCCTTTTCTTTCTTCATATAATTTACTCTCCTCTTTTCTCCTTCAATTTCGTCTTCTTCGTCAACTTGTTCTTCCTCTCATTTTTCATCTCCATTTTCTCCCTATCCCTCCTCTATTTCTCAATTTCTCATCTCGTTCCTACATCTTCTTTTCATTGCCTTCCTTCATTCTTCTACAACTGATTCTCCTCCTTTTCTTTATATCTCTTTTTCCTCCTTCCATTCTCGGCCGCAGAATGTTCAGTTCTGCCTTAAGCGTACAGAATATTCAGTTCCACTTAGCTTGGAGAATGTCCAGTTCAGTTCTTTCTTAAAACTGCAGAATATCCTGCTCTGTCTCAAGCTTGCAAAATGCACTATTCAGCCTAATAGCCTCAGAATGTCCAGTTCTATCCCAAGTTTACAGAATATCCTGTTCTGCCCCAAGATTGCAGAAGGTCCTGCTCTGCTTCGAGCTTGCAGAATGTCCAGTTCTCCCTGAAAGTTTCAGATTGCCCAGTTCTGCCTCAAGCCTGCAGAACGTCCTGCTCTGCCTCGAGCTTGCAAATGTCCAGTTCTCCCTGAAAGTTTCAGATTGCCCAGTTCTGCCTCAAGCCTGCAGAACGTCCTGCTCTGCCTCGAGCTTGCAAATGTCCAGTTCTCCCTGGAAGTTTCAGATTGCCCAGTTCTGCCTCAAGCCTGCAGAACGTACACTCTCCCCTAACTAAACTTCTCGGCATACCTTACAGGATGCGCGTGGGGCATCTCCCTGCTGCTGTGGCCACCGTGGATTTACTCGTGGCCGTACATCGAGGGAGAGCGCACAGTTCCCGACCGTGAGTGCTACATCCAGTTCATCGAAACGAACCACTACATCACATTCGGGACAGCAATCGCAGCGTTCTACGTCCCCGTGACGGTGATGTGCATCTTGTACTGGCGCATCTGGAGGGAAACGGAGAAGCGGCAGAAGGATCTGCCAAACCTTCAGGCCGGCAAGAAGGACAGCAGCAAACGGTCCAACTCCAGGTAGTCAGTACCCTTCCGAACAACAGCAATCTTTGTCGGACTGGGCCCGCTACCTACGACTCAACGACTGACACTGTCACGTGTTCGTGACTAGATATGGGATTTATTGAACTCTTATAACTCGCAGCTACAACAGTCTCGCTGATTTACGCACGCCATAGATCACCATAACTACAGGGCACAAAGAGTCTTCTGTTCGTTCACTAGTCGTTGCTAGGTACCGGCTGCTAACAATACGACTCATGACTGATTCGACTCCAGTAATCCAGCCTATCCTGTAAATTGTTGCTGGCTATCGCCAGCGCCGTCAATGTTGGTTTCAGGTCCCGTCAGAAACCATGATTGTTCTTTCCAAGATCTTCTACGTGTTTTGAAATGGGGTCTCCTCTTTGACCAGAGGGAGGGTTTGACTACAACTAGCTACTCACCCTCTACTGGAGTGATTTGAGAATGGGCACTCATTCACTGATTGGCCCTGTCCCCCACCCACCCACACACAGCCAGTAGCTTAGCTACTTAAGAATTTCCCAACGTTTTATTGAACTCGAAGGTTTATTGCCATATTCACAAGAGATTTGCACTGGTCCCTATACTGAAACAAGAACTTAAATTGTGCTTGTGATTACTAAAATTCTAGATTTTGACATTCACATACTCGTAAGTATTCTTGAGTAACAATAAAACAAAGTAACTCAGAAGTCCAATAATCGCAAATAAAAATATCATTGTCAGAGCGATTAAAAATTGTGCTCAGTGATGAACCGACTGAAAAATACCATATGGGAATTTACGGAATACCATATAAATGTTAATTCTTAATTATATTAACATGTGAACGATAGAAGTATAAACGTATCCATTTGTAATTAAGCACTACGACATGAAGAATTATGGGAGAATGGATGTATGGCTCCATAATTCTTGACCTCGGCACTAGATTAAGGTGAGTGGTCAAATTCACGCTACAGTCACTTTGGCCCGGGGGGAAATAATCCCCAGTACCCATTGGATAAGAGGCTGGGTGGGCCCCACAGCCGCATCTTGACATGTCATGAAGCGATCTGCAATAGAAGCACCACACAATTAACAGAAGGCTAGGCGGTGGCGTAAGAATAAAGTCTCTTCAAATATTATAAAGTTATGCACTGCTACATAATCAGAGTGCACAACAGAGTAATTGAACCGAGGCAGGTGAAATTAGGTCCCTAGGGACTGCTGCAGGTCACAGGGTACTACAAAATATCAGTAACAATTTAGTCTGACAATATGTTTGGTATCTTATACGAAATGGTTGAAATCAAACGCACTGGTATCACAACTTGGAAAAAACTGATCAAAAGCAGATTTCCTAAGTTTTGTCTAGTGGCCTGAGTTCCTGGCTACAGATCCAGAGGCCCGGGTTCAATTCCCGGCGCTACCAGATTTTCTGAGACGTAGTGGGTCTGAAACCATGTTAGGTGGGTCCCTGTCACCACGGCATAGCGCGTCCTCAGGTTGCGGATGGAGGAGACACCCTCCAGTTTTGGAGGGAAGCTGTGAATGTATTGAATAAGCAGTCGCGGATAGCCGACAATGGGTGGCCCTCCAGCTTGGGGGTTGGGCGTGGGGCTACAACTACTCACCGTAAGAAATAATTATGTTACGAAAATGAACACAAAGCCTCGGACCTGGACTGATTCCTTGGGTAAACGACCTAAGCTAAAGAAAATGGATATGAGATTTGGCACTTGGAATGTACGAAGTTTGTATAGGGCAGGTTCGCTCATGGCAGTGGCGGAAGAAATCTTAAAATATAAGTTAGATTTAGCGGGAGTACAGGAGGTCAGATGGGACGGAGGTGGCATCGCACCAGCAGGAGACTGTACATTTTTCTATGGAAAGAGGAATGAAAATCATGAATTAGGTAGAGGTTTTTTCGTACATAAGAGAATCGTATCAGCAGTTAAGAGGGTAGAGTTCGTTAGTGATAGGATATCATATATAATACTAAAAGGTCGCTGGTGTGATATCATTGTTATGAACGTTCACCCCCCAACAGAAGATAAAATTGATGACATAAAGGACAGATTCTATGAAGAACTAGAACATGTATTTGATAAATTCATGAAGTACCCTATGAAAATTTTGTTAGGAGATTTCAATGCCAAAGTAGGGAGGGAAGACATTTTCAAACCAAAAATTGGGAATGAGAGCTTGCATGAAATTAGTAATGATAATGGAGTTA